TTGGGTTTGATGTGTCACTTGACAATTGACATGGCATTGAAGTTCAGAATGCAAGAGTTTTTGAATGGGATGGTGAAATAAGTAAATGTTCATGTGGGGAACCTTGAGTTTGAGTTCAGGGATTTTCAAAAAGTTGTCAATCGTTCCATCTTTAGCTTAATAAGCTCGAAATTTTTGTGTAAACATGTAAGTATTTCTCTTGATACCTATGTTGCTAAGAGATTGTGCAATTTGAATTACATTTGAAACTATTTACAAATTTTGTGTTTTGGTTATGTATTTATCTCTCAAGTTTGGTGCAGTTTCATTATCTGATCTTGATTTCTTTAGTCATAGGTAGCACAAGTTTTTATTATTTCAAATTTGCATTATTACTATATTGTTGTAATGAGTTTTTCTTTTTTTTTTTGGTATAATACATATGAGATTCTGTTAAAATTGGAATCAATTTAAAAATATTTAAACTCTGGAGTTTGTTGAGGACTATATTGAGCCCAAGTTGATTAAATGAAACATATTTTCAAGTTTGTTGTGTTGAAGACATGGAAAAGGAAATCAATATGATATTTGATGTATAAAATGCTTACTAATTTATGAATGAAATTGCAATTAATATGGAAAGAGAGGAAAATTTTGACTAAGGAACAGTATAAAACAGACTACTCCACCATTAATGCATTAATTCTTTTTCAGGGCTTATTTCATCAGTTTACTCTTATTCCATGGCACCTACTGTTTTAGAATTAACTTGGCATAATTAAAGTTGGGGGTGGGTGATGGAGGGGAAGGGGTAGGGGGTGAAAAGAGTGGGGAAGAGTGGGGGTGGAATGGGAGGCAGAAGGGGGGAGGTGGGAGTTTTTTTTTCTTTTGGACTGTTGACCTTTGGAAATGATGATGGTTGCGACCAATCTCTGTCTGATTTGTGGCAAGCAAGTGACCATTGACAAGCTAAAGTCGTATCACCTAATCAAAAGTAATTCCTAAAACCACTAACTAATATAGATAGGGAAGTAGGGTCGAATCCACAGAGAAACAAGTCTTTCTATTCCTAATTAATTAATATAATCTAAATTATCAAGTAACCAAATTGTTTTTGTGAGAATTAAACTAATAACTAAACTAAAGCAAATTAAATAAGGGAGGAAAACAATAATAAAGGCTTAGGGTATAAGTTCACCAATAAATAATATTCCAGGGTAAAACATAATAATCAATCATCAATGCATAGATTAATCAGATCATAAAGGGCTTTCGCTACGTATTACGATCACAGAATTAATCTACCGGTATTAAATCGCATCTCTCGAATCTTGACTTAACCATTTATAAATTAATCTGCCTATTGAAACTAAGCCTAAACATTAATTCTCATCTCTCGAATCTCGAATCAATATTGCATAACTCATACAATTAAACCTGCGCAAATTTAATTGCATAACATTAAATCAATCAATAGGAAATCAACTAAAACATTGACAATCAACAATAATAAATTACCCCGTCATATTAATTAGGGATCCCCACAACCCTAGAAATAAAACTACTCGCACATTTTTAAATCTAAGCTAAGCAAGACAATTAAAGAAAGCATAATTAAATCAAAGCAATTAAATTACTGAAAGTAAAGAGGGAAGAAATCGTTACCAAAGTAGACGGAAGTAAAGAATTGCATAAACTGAAAGTGTCGAGCGAGATCAAGAGTATTAACTAAAAGCTTAAAACTAAAAACTAAGGAATTAAACTAGAAAGAGAGAGAGAGAGAGAGAGAAAGAAGGTCCCAAACTCGCTTAACAAAAGCGTATTTATATTAAACTAGGAAAACCTAAGCTAAAACGAAGATTAAAAGTGCTAAACGAACTCATAAACACGCGCCCGGTCGGGCGCCGCCTCGCCCTGCCGAGCACGCCTTCGGGCGAGCAGCTACTCTCTTCCTTCTTCCTCGCCCTGTCGGGCGCGCCTTCGGGCGAGGGCTTGCTCTGCTGGGCGAGCTCCTGGGCAAGCTTGGACTTCTTCAATTGGGTCGTTTCTTAGCCCAATTCGCATTTCCTCTTTGGGTTCTGAATACATGGTCCATTTCCCCGGACTTTTCTTCTTCGCCGAGCCCTTAATCACCGATTTGATGACTCCAACCGGTCTTGGGCTATGAAATATGGTCATAATTCTCCAATGTTTGTAGTGGCTTATCATAAGTCCGGGAAAATGCTCCAAATCTGCAATTTCCTATAAAACAGTACCAAAACTACGAAAACACTAGAAAACGCATATTAGTAATAAAAGTAGCTTCGTAGAGCTCAAATAAACACAATTATGACCATTGGGACGGGGAATAAATATATATATAAAATAGACTTATCAAACTCCCCCAAGCCAAACCTTTGCTTGTCCCTAACCAAAGAAATGAATAAATAAACCAAAACTTCACCCCAAAAATAATTTAAATCAAGCACAATCGATTCAAGGCAAATCCAACAAATATGCATCAAAGTCAACCAATCAAATCCATCCAACTACTCATCTTCCCTAACAATTGTCAAATAGAGCAAACCACAAGTGTATATGGAATTCAAGACTAGTGCTCACACACTCTTCACTCTTTTATGTGGCGAGTAAAAGATGTACTCGATCGCTCTCCATCCAACCCCTTTAAATGTGACCAATGCCCTCCCAAACTCACAACACTCGTGTGTTTAAGAAAACAAGCACCCAACCTAGCAGTCGACTCGAAATATATCAAATCATTCTTTGCATTGGAAAACAACCAATTTCACATCCATACAACTCTATGCACAAAGGTCAGAAGGTCTTCAAGCTTGTAATGTAAGGCTAGGGTAAAAGGTAGGAAATATTTGGGAAAATGTGAGAGTAAAGCCATGTTTAAGGGAGCCAAAATCCTAATAAATAAATCCAAGGTCAAAATTAAATAATGACCAAATCATCTCCAACACAACTCAACTCTACCAAAAATTCACCAAACATCCAATTATATTAAAAATTCCCAACACTTACAATTTCACTCATAAAATATAACAATAAGGAAATAGAGTGAATAAACAATCTTTGAACTCTTTTTTTTTCTTGAGCAACCTTCAATTAGAACACTTGAACATTGAAACAATTTATCCTCTTTTGTTCTTTTTTTTTTCCTTTTTATCTCACATTGGAATTTTTAATTTCGAACAATAATTTTTCAATTTTCCAATCCACAAAAATAAGAACAAATAAATAACTTCTCATATTCACCCACATTGTGCAAATTATGTGCACACTACAACTTCCTCACCTCACTAACTATTAGCTCCCCCAAGCCAAGCTTGGGACTAGTAACCAAAAGGGCTTAAATAGGCTTGTAATGTGGCTAAATAAACAATAAAAAGTCAAGGCAACAACATGGGTAGCAAGAAGGGAACAAATGTATCTAAAGTCGTCTGAAGGCCACCTAAGAGAACAAATGCCTTTGTCTTCCTCAATGTGCATAATAATAAGTCATACAAACATTACTCAGAGTTATAAACCAATACTCAACTTCATTGACATACCAGGAACTAACACACATTCCTAACCAAATCAACTAGCCAAGCACCAAATCCACAAATAGTTGGACAAAATTGACGCATGCTAGGGCATCCAAGCAATCAAACATCAAATCATGGCTAACCTATCCACAATACTCATCATCATATAACAAGAATCAAAACAATTTTCATGTATGGAGCACAGGGAAGCATGATTTATCATTCATTGGATCATATTTTTGTAGTTTTTTTTTATTATTTTTAGAAAGAAAAATAAAATCTTAACTATAAAGCAATAATAAAATTAAAAAAAAACTAAACTAAGCACACCAAAGAAAATATAAAGAAAAAGGAAAGAAAGAAAACCTATATATACAAGAAATTCCCCCCAAGCCAAACCAGACAATGTCCTCATTGGCTCAAAGGGAAGAAAGTAACCCAGGCGACTACCCCTCATCATCAAACTCGTATCCACCACCATCCTAAGCATTTCAATGCATCACCTTGGTACAATTCTGGACAAGAAAGAAACAAAATGTTAGTAGGAAAAGAGGTAAAAATGATTCAGGCTCACTATTTCGTTCATAACTTTTTTTATACAAATGATAATGCAGTGATTCCAATTTCATTGGAAAGTAGACTTGAAGAGCTTTCCAACGATAGGTCACACGCAAAATTTCGTTAAGAAACGCAAAAGTTATGGGGTCTTGAAGTTGGCCCGTTTTGCTGCCCCGCTCACGCGCCCGGTCGAGTGGCTCTTCTCCCGGTCGGGCGGCTCTTTGCCCGGTCGAGCGAGTTTAACTTTTTTTCGACCTTTGTTCTCTCGCCCGGTCGGGCGGATGTTCCCCAGGTTGGGTGAATTTTGGGCAAAAATCCTCTTTTCTCTCGCACCCGGTCGGGCAAAATTGCTCGTATACAGACTTCCTCCCGCGCCCGGTCGGGCGCGCTACAGCACTTGGAGTCCGATTTTCTTCAAGTTGCTCCTTTTTCTCCACTTGTTCATCTTCAAACCCAAGCCCTACACAATTTAGAGCCCTTTCTATAGCATCCACTTCATCCTTCTATATAGTGGCTTTTCCTGTGGAAGATGTGACACAAAATACCGCCTCCAAGGGATCTCTAACGAGAGCTTGGGGCTTATTAGAAAAATTATTTACATCAAGCACATCAATACTATAGCACTTTTCTTCCAACATGGGGCTTTTAGGGGCATCATGTAGATTAAAAATAATATTTTCATCCCCTACACATAATGTAAGTTTACCACTCTTCACATCTATTATTGCCCCTGCAGTATGAAGGAATGGTCTACCCAAAATAATCGGAATTTGCAAATCTTCCTCCATATCAAAGACAACAAAATCAACAGGTATATAAAATTTACCTACTATAACAGGAACATCTTCTAAAACACATAAAGGATATTTAAGAGAACGATCAGCCATTTGTAGAGTAATATTGGTAGCTTTTAAATTACCCAAATTCAATTTAGAGCTCACAGCTAATGGAATAACACTTACACTGGCACCCAAATCACATAAAGCTTTATCAATCATCAGATTGCCAATGTGACAAGGAATAGAAAAACTACCCGGATATTTTAGTTAGGTGGAGATTTATTCTGTAATATAGCACTACATTCTTCAGTAAAAGCAATTGTCTCTACCTCACTAATAGATCTCTTTCTGGTCAAGATTTCTTTCATAAATTTAGAATATGCAGGAACTTGAGTAATTAATTCTGTGAAAGGAACTGTTACCTGCAAATTCTTGACAACCTCCAGAAACTTACCAAACTGCTTATCTAGCTTACTCTTAAGATGTCTATTAGGAAATGGTAGTTTGATAACTGGTTTATGTACATCTCCACTCTTGTCTTGATTTTTATCCTTCTTTGGAGTTATACCCTGCAATGCAGGGCTAGTAACAACAATATTTGGTATAACAAAATCAAGATTAACAATATTTGTAATGATAGGTTCATCATCTTTGGGCATAGACGGCCCATCGTATTTTGAACCACTTCTCAGGGTAATTGCATTCACGTGATCTGTAGGTTGTACTGGCTGCGATGGTAGGGCTCCCTGCTGGCGAGTTTGTAGAGCAGAGGAAAGTTGCGCAATTTGATTGTCCATGATTTTATTATGAGCTAGAATCGAATCAATTTGTGCATCCCTACTCTGCATCTGTTTCTGCATATCAACTAACATCGTTCTGATTTCTGATAAGCCAGAATCAGAAGGAGCAGTAACAGGCTGTTGTGGTCTCTGATGTGGAGGTTGATAGTACCTCTGCTGCGATTGTTGTACTTGCGGTGGGGGGTTAGGCGCATTCATACTATTGTACGACATATTTTGGTTATTTCTCAACCCTGCATTGTAGGTGTTAGAGTATGGACTAGTTTGTTTATAGGCCTGAAAAACATTAATCTTCTCAAGAGAACTGGTGCATTCTTAAGCCCAATGACCTACAAGACCACAATTTTCACAATTTATTGCAGAGTTAGTACCAATAGCAGAAACATTAGCAACGGAAGATGAATTAGAATTATTAATATTGTCTAGTTTCTGGCTAATAGCAGTCAATTGTGCTTGCAAAAAGGATATAGAATCGACTTGGTGTTTTCCTTTATTTGCAAATCCTCTGGGATTCCCATATTGGGAATTATGAATAACCATCTCTTCAACAACATTGCTCGCTATATTAACATCCAAATTCATAAATCTTCCGTTAGCTGCAGAGTCCAAAATCATTCTTGAATTATATCCAATCCCGTTGTAGAAGGCTTGGATTATCTGCCATTGTGCTAGCCCATGATGAGGGTACTCTCTCTGCAAATCCTTAAATCGTTCCCAAGCTTCATATAAAGATTCATCTGCTTCTTGGGAAAAATTTAGGATCTTACTCCTTAACAAAGTTGTTCTCTCTACAGGGTAGTATTTGTTACAAAAATTCAAAACAAGAGTTTCCCAGTCAGTAATACCAAGTGCAGTTCTATTCAGTCCATTGTACCATAATTTAGCTTTACCACATAAAGAAAAGGGAAAAAGAATCTCCCTGATTTGGTCCTGTGTGACTCCAGCTTGTCTAATGGTGTTGCAATATTGGCAAAAGTCCAAGATGTGAAGATTTGGATCTTTACCCTTAGCTCCGCTAAATTGCTTCCTTTCGATCATAGTAATAAACTGGGGTTTAATCTCAAATTTTACTCCCTCGTGATTTGGTGCGGGGGCAAGGTGTGAAAAATCTGCCAGGGACGGCTGCGAATAATCGCTGAGCTTACGAGATGGTTGAGCCATCATCTCTGATTCTAGTTCTAAAGAAACTTCTGTATCACTAGAATCAGATGGGGGTTCCAAAGGTGTAATGCCCTCGGAAGTAGCTCGTACCTATCTAAAAAGATTCTTCTGCTTATGAAAAGAACGTTCGATTTAGGATCGAATGGGATGTAACCTGATCTAGAACTCCTGGGCATAAACAAAGAACTAAACAAACAAGTATGAGAAAATGTCCCAAAGAACTTGCGTTCTCTAAGACTAAAGAAAATAATCTAGACTACAAAAATAATCAGAAATAAAAATAAAATCATTTCCCCGGCAACGGCGTCAAATTTTGACAAGCTAAAGTCGTATCACCTAATCAAAAGTAATTCCTAAAACCACTAACTAATATAGATAGGGAAGTAGGGTCGAATCCACAGAGAAACAAGTCTTTCTATTCCTAATTAATTAATATAATCTAAATTATCAAGTAACCAAATTGTTTTTGTGAGAATTAAACTAATATAAACTAAAGCAAATTATATAAGGGAGGAAAACAATAATAAAGGCCTAGGGTATAAGTTCACCAATAAATAATATTCCAGGGTAAAACATAATAATCAATCATCAATGCATAGATTAATTAGATCATAAAGGGCTTTCGCTACGTATTACGATCACAGAATTAATCTACCGGTATTAAATCGCATCTCTCGAATCTTGACTTAACCATTTATAAATTAATCTGCCTATTGAAACTAAGCCTAAACATTAATTCTCATCTCTCGAATCTCGAATCAATATTGCATAACTCATACAATTAAACCTGCACAAATCTAATTGCATAGCATTAAATCAATCAATAGGAAATCAACCAAAACATTGACAATCAACAATAATAAATTACCCCGTCATATTACTTAGGGATCCCCACAACCCTAGAAATAAAACTACTCGCACATATTTAAATCTAAACTAAGCAAGGCAATTAAAGAAAGCATAATTAAATCAAAGCAATTAAATTACTGAAAGTAAAGAGGGAAGAAATCGTTACCAAAGTAGACGGAAGTAAAGAATTGCATAAACTAAAAGTGTCGAGCGAGATCAAGAGTATTAACTAAAAGCTTAAAACTAAAAACTAAGGAATTAAACTAATGAGAAAAGTAGAGAGAGAGAGAGAGAGAGAGAGAAAGAAGGTCCCAAACTCGCTTAACAAAAGCGTATTTATATTAAACTAAGAAAACCTAAGCTAAAACGAAGATTAAAAGTGCTAAATGAACTCAGAAACATGCGCCCGGTCAGGCGCCATCTCGCCCTGCCGGGCGCGCCTTTGGGCGAGCAGCTACTCTCTTCCTTCTTCCTCGCCCTACCGGGCGCGCCTTCGGGCAAGGGCTCGCCCTACAAGGCGAGCCCCCAGGCAAGCTTGGACTTCTTCAATTGGGTCGTTTCTTAGCCCAATTCGCATTTCCTCTTTGGGTTCTGAATACATGGTCCATTGCCCCGGACTTTTCTTCTTCGCCGAGCCCTTAATCACCGATTTGATGACTCCAACCGGTCTTGGCTATGAAATATGGTCATAATTCTCCAATGTTTGTAGTGGCTTATCATAAGTCCGGGAAAATGCTCCAAATCTGCAATTTCCTATAAAACAGTACCAAAACTACGAAAACACTATAAAACACATATTAGTAATAAAAGTAGCTTCGTAGAGCTCAAATAAACACAATTATGACCATTGGGACGGGGAATAAATATATATATAAAATAGACTTATCAACCACATTATAAACTCTGCTGTAAAAATATGCTACATGTCTACAAGCCAGATCATTGTTCCCATTGTTTTTAAGGGTCCTAATGGCGCTGCTGCAGGAGTTGGTGCCCAACATTTTTAGGTATGTTTTTTCAACTTCTCCTCTTTATTTTTTGCTTTACTTCAAGTTGGTAGTAAATTATTACGTATTATTACTGGAATTCAGTGAGAGTTATGTTGTCAAGAGTAATCCTGTGTCTCATCTCAACTTCCTTCCATATTTGTGATGTTTATCCTTGCTATTGATCTTCTCTTAAATTTTGTGCAGTGTTATGCATCGTGGTATGGCTCCTGTCCTGGGTTGAAGGTTTTGTTTGAGACTGTCTCCATACTTAGCCGAGGATGCTCGCAGATTGGTAAAGGCAGCCATTAGGGATCTCGATCCAGTTATTTTTCTAGACAATGAAATACCGTAAGTGGATCGTATTTCTCTATTGTTTCTGTGTGAGGCTGTGAGCTTGTAGTGATTAATTTATATTCTTAACTGATTATATGTCTTTAGTTATGGAGAGTCATTTCTGATTTCTAATTAACCTATAGATCCTAAATGTACCTATTGATGAAAAGGCAGAATGACAAGATGAGACGACATTGATTGCTTTCGGATTGCCAAGGTATCACCCTTAATCTAGATTATTAAAAGTAATTATTCGACATATTTCAGCATTTTACTTCTTGTAACTATTGTATCTTTGAATATGTTGCCCTATTGCTCTTTTTCACTCCTAGATTGAAAGAGAATGGTACGATGTGACGATAAATGCGTTCTCAAAGATGGTAGAATCTTTTCTCAAGGTTAGTGAGCAATTTTTCTTTCCTTTCTATGAACATGTATTGTGGTCAGGATGTCTTTTTGCTTAAATTCAGCACTTTTTATATGTTGCATCATGTAGCCATTTATGAGGGAGAGGGAGACCGAAAATGACTTGGTTGGAAAAAGTTAGGAACGATATGAGGTATATGGATTTGCATGTGAGGATAAGGCATTGGATTGTAAGGGATGGAGGAGGAGGAGGATCTTTGTTGATGATAACACGGAATAATCAAATTTGGTTCATGTAGTCGACCCCACTTATGGGATTAAGGATTTGATTGATTGATTGATTGATTGATTTATATGTTGCATCATGCTGATGGAGATTCTTAATTAGCACCTATTGCACAGAGCTTATAATTTTTTAAAATGTGTCTTGTTTATCATCTAAAATGTTTATTTCTGACCCTTAACTAACATCCAGGCTACAAAGATACTAGAAAAGGAAGGAATTAGTGCTGAGGTAAAAATTCTTATCACATGATCTTGATTGGACATGCCATTAAGTGACAAACAGTATAGCAACCAATAATTGCGTAAGGAAAACAAACAGATTGATAATTGTTGAAGAAGGGTTCCCACAACATGGTGTCATGGTTAATATGAGTTCGTTTGGGGTGTTGTGAGTTTAGTTATAATCCTATAATCTTTTATTTGCACTTGCATTTATTTGTCATAGATTTTGGCTTATGAGTTGGGTATATGGTTATGTACATTCTATGAATTCTCAGACTATTTGGAATATAATGGTTCTAATTCATTTCTGATGACATTTGGACACTAGTGGAAAAAACTTCATTCATAACGCCTCATTTGTAACGGGCATAATTAAATTCGTTACGAAAAGATTATTCACAACAGGCAATTTATATGACCGATACAAATAACAACTATTTGTAACGGGTAAAATAATGCCTGTTACGAATAATCATTTAATTGTAACGGACAATATATTACCCGATAAAAAGAGACTTGTGATGGGGCGGAATTCGCTGAAAGGAGTAAGCCCGTTACATTAGACTATTAGGTTTTCAAAACATAGCCGTCAAACTTCCACTTTCTCTCTCATTTCACTTTTCTCTATGTCTTGCTCTCTCTATCTCTCCTCACTCAATCTCCTCCCTCCGTTTCTACTAAGGAATTCAAGCGGTTATCTTCTATTTTGTGCGATTGGGTTAGAGATTCGAAACAAAGAGAAGAATTTCTTATTTCTTTCTCTGAGGTATGATATCTTTAATTATCTTTTTGAATTTTAATGTTTTTAGCTTACATTTGGGATTTTGTGAAGTTTTTTTTAATGAATTTTGTTGGATCTTGAAGATCTGAGTTGTTTTGATGAATTCTGAGGACTGGATTAGTGTTGATTGGGATAATGAAGATGGTAAAAATTATGGTTCTATTAATGGAGTTCGATAATTTCAAGGCAAATAGGAGAGATACGCTTCTTCTTCAACCTCTCATTATGCTGGGAATATTCTTTTTTTTTTTAATTGGGGCTAAATGTATTTGTAATGGGCAGTTGAAATGCCTGTTACAAATAACCCGTTATTTGTGCAGAAGGAACTGTCCGTTAGAAATAATGGGTCATTTGTAACGGGCATTTCAATTGCCCGTTACAAATAACGGGTTATTTGTAACGGGCGTTTTACCTGCCCGTTACAAATAACATTGTCTATCCGTAACGGCCGCATACGTAACGCCCGCTGCCCGTTACGGATAGGCTGTTTTTGCCCGTTACGGATAGCTGTTTTTCTACTAGTGGGACCTCGCTACTCCAATTTTGATTTCTATTTACATGCAATATCGTTATTAGTTCATTACTGAGGAGTGGGTTGATTATCTTCTTGGAATTACTCACTTAAATTTACTTTTTGTTCGTAATTCTCTTGCACTTTGTAATTAGAACTGGAGAATGAGGTCATTATACTTTGTAATTAGAACTGGAGAATGAGGAGTGGGTTAATATATCGGTCATGATATTATGATTGATACAAGAACAAGTCATTATACTTATTGTGCCTAATTAGTGTTTCAAACAATTTTTGGCGCTAATGTGATTCAATGCTCGCTTATGTTATGACTATGTTGCTCGATTATTCAAGTCATGATCTCAAAATTTTTTAGGGGAGGCATCAAACTTATGCATCTTGGGGAGGTAGTTATACTTCCGCGTACAAAAAAAGGAAAAAAAAAAAAAAAAAAAAAAAACTCTTTTTACACTAGTTTCACAAGAGTGCATCATATGACCTTATGGGGCTAGGATAGACGGTTTTTGTCTTCTCCCTTTAAGACATTTAAGTGAATTAACATCCCTTAAACTTCTTTAACAAGTTGCAACTTGCTCTATTTTGCAAGTAGTATTATCTTGTCTAACTTCAATACAACAAACGTAACACAAATTCAAATGTCAATAAATAATTAAATAAATGCGAATGGACAAACACACATCCTATTATAATTAAGAACATTAATTGTAATAAGAAATATTCAAAATTAATTGGCCAAATTGGGGGGGAGGGGCATATCGCGGGTGCTCCCACAACTAGTCTCTTAAATTTCAAGTGAAATTAGTGTAACAAATGTTTTTTTTTTTAGACGTTTAGTACCATAATGTAACAAATATAATCATTGTGTATTGTTTGTCATAAAATTTATTACCATCCTTCCACCATTTTAATCTAACATAATAAATTATTGTATCTTAATTCTTATAAAGTATCTTTCCTAAATCTGCACTGGACAAGAGTAATGCCCAATCAACATCATTATTTTTGTGTAATTATATTTATGATTTTTGATAGTTTAGATTGAAACATCCTGAAATAATAATAATAATAATAATAATAATAATAATAAAAAATAAAAAAAAAAAAAAACCATGTTAAAATTGTATTTTTACTTTTCTCTCTTTTTCTTTTTTTCCCACTTCTCTTTTTCTCTTTTTTCCACTACCAAAAAAATTGTGTCCAATGTTAAAAAATGGAAGAAGTATATTATAAACCAAAACCACTTTATTGTTATTACAACCGAGACTTAATCATACATGTACATATAACTTTTTTTCTGAAAAACATTACTCCGTTCTTTAAATATATTTATCCTAAGAATGAATATCTTTCCTTAACTCCTTCTTTGTTTCTATCGCAACAATTCTTTTCATTATAAATTATAATGATAACAATTAAATGTATGAAAATATAAGTTTCACATTTATGATGATGATAATTAGTAACGATTTTTTCATCAAATAGCACTGAGTTATCACTTTATTCAACGTATACTTCATAACATGTTTAAATTCACCATATACCCTAAGTTTCACAAAAAATGCACTAGATATACTTAGGGTGCTTTCTATTCACCTTATTTCTACTTATCTGGACTTATCTGATCTTATCTGAACTTATCTGATCTTATCTGAACTTATTTAGCCCGTATTATAACTTATTTTAGTTATAAATTAAACTTGGGTAGCCCTGATTAACCCTTATCACAACTTATCTGAACTTATTAACCCTTATCTGAACTTATTAACCCTGAAATAAGTGAAAATAAGGTGAACAGAATAGGGCCTTAATGACTAACAACTTTCCGTTAATTATTAAACTTAATTATGCCATGTGGCATATTATGATTGATTTCTTTAAAATTATTTTAAATTATTTTACAAAAAAAAAAAAAACTTTTTTAAAGAATAATTTAAATCACAAATCACTATTCGTAGTTTTTTATCTTTTAAATTAAATTCTCAAATTTCATTTGTGAATTTGCTTACGAATTTGCTTACGTGAAGATTGAATTTTTTTAATTTTAAAATAAAGTACAAATCTCTTTTTTTTATTGGTTGAAAATAAGTGTCTTGCTTATGTGATGCTTTGAATGCTCTCGAAAAATGCCTCCTTTATTTTTATGTATTAGGTTAGATTAGATTAGATTGTTTAATAATTTGAAATCTATTTGCAATGTTAGGAATTGAATTGTGTTTTTATGTTAGTGGAAAGGAGCAAGTATTACAGCTTAGAAGGATGTATCAAAGTTTTAATTTATCAATCACTTTTTTTTAATCTTTATTTTAATTATGCAAAAATGTGTTTATATAGTTTATTTCACCCAATTTATCACCTGATCTACCCGATTCATCTATGGATGATGGGTGGATCAGATGTGAAGGAATGAAGGTTATATTAGGTGACAAATGGATCGTTGGTGGATGAAGATGAAGGAAATATCACCCGACCACCTCTGATCCATTGCCACCCCTATACGGAGTATAAAAAAATATAAAAAAAAAGTAGCAAATGAAGGAGAAAATACAAGTTTTAAACGTAATTGTGTATCAAATGACAATTTTGTAAATAAGTTGCTTAGACATTGGTGCTTTTATAATTAAAATTATTTCGTGTACTTTGTATAGGTGGCCACTATTCACTAACTTGACACGGCGAGGCCGTGAGAAAATAAAGCTTTAATGGAGTCAAGAGTTACGAGAAAGCTTGGAAACAACTTCAATGGCCACGACTTCACGAGTAGATTCAATGGAGAAGGGAAAAACTCAACTACCCTTTATGGTCAACCATGCCCTTTATTTCTCCCTTTTATCTTAGAGCATCCTTATTCATGAACCAAAAAAAAGTTCATGTTACTATTCACAAAAAAAAAAATACTTTCTCTCTTATATACATCAACTAAACAAATAATTTTCAACATCCTCCTCTTAACAATGTGTAGACACTTACTTTTAGCCTCCTGCCCCGACGGGAAGTGCGATGATGTTACAAAAACTCGTTCTTCATGCTAGATCAAAGTTGAAGTGTTTATGGACTCCGAAATACATTATGAAGTTAAAACCCGTATTTGAGACCAAATTATCTTTGAGCCTAGTCCGATTACTAATTAGGCCTAAAACGTATTCATACATGTTTAATCTTGATTAATAACGAACCTAAATGTGTCAAATGCAATGATTGGATCAAATAAATCTAACATTGTTGAAAACCGAGCCAACCAGAACAGTTAAACACATAATATCCGTTCAAGGCCTATACAAGTGGATAGCCCTTTCAAAGAGCTTTCCAACGGTATATTATAAGCGAAAATTCTTAGCTACACACTTATGCAGCTAAGCTAGCTGCTACAGCTATATATATATAGCACTTAAAAAAAATGAACATAGGTTTTTTTCCCCTTCCTTTTATCTTAACTCTCTCTCCTTCTTTCTTACTTCTATTAATTTTCTCTCTCCTCTGTTTTCTTCTCCATTTAAAATTTCTCTCTCGTCTGTTTTTTCCTTTCCTTATAAGTTTATTTTCTTTCTTACCTTACTTTCCTTCAATAATCGTTACACTTCTTTGTCCTTCTACTTCGGATATTCTCCAATTCGTCACCATTGTAGCATTCTCCATCATCATCATCTTCGTCACGATTGTGAATCTTGAGGTAAATTTGAGCTTTTTTTTTTTTTCCTTTTTTTGTTTATAAATATGTGAATGTTATAAAAATGTTGATTTCTATTAATTTTGCATTTGTGATTCCTAATCTACTATGTTATAGATCGAGAATTATTGTCTCTATGATGAATTAAGATTAGATTTAAGGTGAATATTTAAATTTTTAGAGTTATAATAATTACAATCGAATTTATGTATAATTTCTGTATAAAAAAATGAACACGTAGTACTTTAAATTTGAACATTTTGTACAAAATGAACATTTAGTACACTAAAAATGAACATTTAGTACAAGAAAAAGGAAAATTTGTCAAGAATAAGTCAACCTTTGCGTGGTTAGCTCAAAATAAGTCAACCTTTCGATTAACTCAAATTAAGTCGACTTTTAAGGGGTATCTTCTCAAAATGAGTCAAAACCTGTAAGATTAGAAGGTAACCGGTTGTTAAGCTAAAATATGACACATGTCATTATGTGATTGATCCTTTTTAACAAAAATAATTAAGATTTATTTTTTGAGTGATTATTTTAAAAAAATTCAATTCACAATTAAATAATTATATCAAAATAAATAAAAATAAAATAATAAAATAACTAAAATGAAAAATCCTAGCCACCACCCACTGCCAGCCCCTTCCCCCTTCTAGCGGCCGGCGACCACCTCCCTCTTTCGTCGTCGGCGACCCCATCCCATCCCTTTCCTTTCCCCATTCCCGTCCCTAAACCCAATTCCCAAATCCATTCCCGTCCCTTCGTGAAGCGCAACATGGATGTTGTGAATGGTAGGGAGAAAAGCGTCGACGGGGTAAAAAGGGACGATGTGGGTGTAAAGCCAGACGGCGGCGTGGAGTAATTTGCGGCGGTGGACGAGGGTGTTGGGGATGTAGAGGAGGAGAGAAACAAAGGAGTATGAGAAGGCTCGAATGAGGTTTGAATTGGGTCTGGGTCAATGAATCGTACAACGGCGCTTTTATGGCGGTTGACGACACAACGATGTGTTAGGGATGGCGGAAAGTGGGTGGTGGTGGATTGTTACACCGAGAGTTGGGGTTGATGTGGTGAGAGTGAAGGAAGTGATGGTGGTTAAGTGGAAGAGGAGGTGAGAGAATTCGTGGGTTGGGGTTTTTTTTTTAATTTTTATAATTTGTTTATTTAATATTATTATAGTTATTAAATTTAATATTATTAAAAAAATTAATTAAATAAATTATTTTATAAAAAAATTTGACCTGTTTGGTAAGTTGTAGGTCATGTGATTTATTAAAACAAAATACCTTTTAAAAGTCGACTTATTTTGAGTTAACCGAAAGGTTGACTTATTTTGAGCTAACCACGCAAAGGTTGACTTATTCTTGACAAATTTTCCTATAAAAAATGAATATATTTTAATAATTTATTTTATCTTTATTTTTTGTTAATAATTATATATAATTTATTTGAACCTGTATGAATATATGAAGATCAAGTTCATTCTGAATATACTAAATGTTCATAATTTTTTTTGATGTGTTCATTTTTTTTCCCTTCATATTTATTGTTTTATACTAAATGTTTATTTTATTTAGTGTTCATATATTTTTATGAAATGTTCATTTTATTTAGGTATATCAAACTATTCTATTATTACATGATAAATATTCATATATAATATACTAAATGTTCATATTTCTTTTTTGACGTGTTCACTTTTTATTACTAATTTTTTTTTTTTTTTACTAAATGTTCATTTTAAAGGTTGTGGTCTATCAATTTTATGATTATATGATAATCATGTTCATGTTTAATATACTAAATGATCAATTTCTTTTATTTTATTTTTTTAATATGTTCACTTTTTAGTACTAAATGTGCATTTTTTTTACGTGTTCATATTTTTTTACTAAATGCTCATTTTATGGGTTGGTGCAGCTATTTTAGCTGTATAAGGGTGCAGCTAAGACTTATTGATATTATAAGCCCAATTTCGAGTTAAAACGAAGAAGTTATTATCAAAATACTAAACCGGGCCCTAAAACCGACACCCTTGCACTCAAACGGCCAAATCTTTTTATCCATAATAGATTTTAACATAATCCAACGGTATTGAAAAGTAGATATTCAGTGCTTTCCAATGATATCTTATTTGCCTTAATCTGACTTCGTATTCAAAAGTTATGGAAGTTTGAAAAACGCGTTTTCGTATAAGGCAAACCGCACCGCGCGTAAGTCTTAGAGTTGCGCTCGACACTCTAGCCCGACTTTGAGAGTTGCGCGTGCCTCCTGACGCCGCGGCTCTAAAACCCTAAACCTAGATTCCTACGCCTATAAATAGGGGTCTTCGTTAGCCCTAATGACAACAGAAAAAACAAAATTAAAACCCTAGAATTCTAAAAACCCTAATCTCGCAAGTTCTCTATTACTATCATACTACTTTTCCCCTCACTTCACAAATACTCTT